AGCCTTTAGTCACGTTCTTGTGTTAGTTGACAAATATATTGACAATAATATAATTGGCTGTTTACTCTTGGCCCTAATCCAAAAAAATAGACAAAATAGAGAGGTGGGGATGTAACCAGGGAGCAGTCACAGATAGCCAGTGGAGTAATTACTACACACATTTCCCCAGCCCATATTGCACTCAACCCAAATAGAAGCAAAATTACATTAACATTCAAAATGACCTGCATGTGAATAAATCACAGGTCTAAAATGATTTACAGAACTCATGCGGCAAATTATTTTGAAGGGTGAATACTACAAAGAAAATGCAATCAGAATATATGCAGAGTATGAAAATGAAGCAAAATATGTAAACTCATTAGTAGGTAGCTCCTCAGAATTTGATAACAGTAGATTACGATGCTAAACTCTCTCTGCTGGCAAGTTGCACGAACAATAACACTTTCACAAAAGTAGAATATCCTACAAGCAGATTCTAGGTGTGTGTATTTCTATATATATAGATGGATAGATATAGTCAATCACTGTCCTTTGCAGCAGGTGAAGGTCTCCTGCAAATAACATTTTGTCTGGGGGTCTATTCCACACAATCTGAGAATTTTTTGATTGCTGAAAAATATATATTTATTGTCAGGATCATTCCATTTAATCCTATTCCTGATGCATTTTAAGTATGCTCTCCTTTGGAAAGACCACTGTGCTTGTTCATTTTAAGGGTTCATTCTCTGTCTTCCATTTTTGTACTATTTCCATTCACTAGTGAATGTAAGTAATCTCAACTTATACAACCAACAAATATTGTTGCCTTTGGGAAGAGACTGTATGTTTTAAACTTGCCAGGCAATTAGATTAAATGGAGCAATTCTGTAAACAGCTACATATTTTTCAAAACCTAAGAGGTTTGCTTTGTTGCTTTTTTTTTGTCACCACAATCTGTGATCCCATTTATACAGCTGTGCTGGCTACAGCATCAGAATGTCTTGGTTAGATTCCAGTCTCCATCTGAAGGGTAAAAAGAAAGACTCACAAATTTCAATGCCCACTGATGTCCCCATGCACTTTGGTCTTAAGATGGCAGTTTGGTGGGCTCTGGGTTCTGTGCTCTGATTAGAGTCACACATAACATTCACACTGTGAATCATAAATCTGTAGAGTTGGAAGGGACCCCAAGGGCCATTGTGAAGGCCTGGGATTTGGACTCAGAGGCTGAACCTGAGGAATCCCAGCCTGCACAGGAGTCCCCGCCTCCAGAACCAGCTGAGCCAGGGCTGGGGCCTGAGCCTGAAGGGTCCTCACCTGTGCTGGATCCTCAGGTGCAGGCACCAGCTGAGTCTGCTCTGGCCCCTGAGGTGATGGAGGACCCATTGCCTGCAGGTGCTCCACTCTCAGCCCCGTCAGGGGAAGAGGAGGTTGCCTCTGGGTCCGGTAACCCTCCAGCCTCTCCTGAGCTGCAGAGGCTCAGGGCAGAGAGGTGGAGGGAACTAAGTTCCTGCAGGAGGAGTGCTCGCCTCCAGGCCAGGACAGGCGAGTTACCTGTGGACAGGGGCCACCCTATGCCTCGGGGCAGATAAAAGCCAGTCAGCCCCAGTCCCAGGTTATGGGAGCAACATTGTTGCTAACCTGTTCCTGCCCGCACCCTGTCCTGCTCTTCTGTCAGAATTCCTGACCCCACCCGACTCCCAGCCTTGGACCCAGCTACAGCTTTGGCGGACAGCCTCCATACCGCACCATCGACCTCGGACTGGACTCGGACCTCGCCTCTCGGTTAGCCCCTGGGACCAGAACAGCCATCTTTGTCCAACCCCCTGCAATGCTGGAATCTCAACTCAAGCATCCATGACAGATGACCACCCAACCCCTGCTTAAAAACCCTGGTTATGTTGATAGCCATTTGAAGTGCTGTGCTGAAAATGTCCTCCCTCAAAAAAATAAAAATCACTACCTTGTTTGGGGTTGAAGCATTTGGGGGACCTATTCAGCAGTTTGAAGTAGGTGAAAATTCTACCTGATTTTCAGAAGCGAAGACTCACTTGACAGTAGTGGAAGTTGCAGCTTTTCCTGCCAGCCTCCTTAAAAAGAAAGTGGTGCTGTCTAAACCACAAGCTTCAGCAACCAAGCTCCTATTACCATTTTCATTTCCCCATGGTCACATCATGAAGCAGTGTCAGTCCAACGGGGCATTTGGGGCGGGTGAGATGAAAACAGGAGCTCCACCATCATTTCCAATTTGGACAAGAGCAAAGCAGTGTTTTAAAAAGCTGCTACTACAACCACTACTGGATAAGGTCCTGCCTTTGAAAGTTTGGATTTTTTAGCCTTCCAAATATGAAAGAGGGTCTGCGGTCCTCCACTGCAGTCCTCTCTTCTACTGTTTGCAGAATAATAATACTGTATATAATATTTCCTAAGGAAGGTATTAAAATTGCATAATTCATTAATGTGAGTTGCAGAATTGTTTTAATTTCTAGATGAGTATCATTCGCTGTCCAGCTCTTTTTTTCATTTTGATCTGGCTCAAACACATGCAGCCAAAGCAGATTGAGTTTTTAATAATCATAATTATATCTTTCCTTAGGGTTTGAAAAATTACTTCTTAAAGCAACTTGTGTAATAAAATTCCATGCTGTTGTGTTCCTCTCTTTCACCTGAGGGCACAGATAATGGATTTGGGAGAGAAGAACCAAGAAAACCTTCTAAAACATTATTAGCTCAACCCACGAATGGATGACACTCTATGATCATATACCTTGCTTTTATACTTTAGATAAAAGGATTACTACTTCTGTAGCATAAGGCTAATAGATCTGTTTACGTGAGAAACGTCTAAGATGCAAAGAACTGCAGAGCTACTTCAATTACCACAAGAGATCGTAAGACTACTTTTTCTCCCCATTAACTTTTCTTTCTAATCCCAAAACATATGAGAAAGATCTGAACATTTTCTTTCATTCCAGTCTGTAGAGAAAAGTCTTTTATTCCCCTCCAGCTGCCTAGGTGCTCTGGGTTTGATGTGCCCCTCAGAAAAGTGATATCTGGTGCATCCCCCCTTTTTTTAGGGATGGAAGGATATGTCAGTTTTGGTTCTCCTGGTTTCTGATTTTTCCAATCTTAAATTCAGTTTTTGACATTTTGCAGCAATCTGCAATTAAAAAAAATAATAATCATGAAAATTCTTCAGCATTTCATTGCTAATTTTTCCTAATAAGCTCATTTTTATATGCTTCTTTGACTAAGGCACACATTTTTGCTAGCAATTTCCCCTAATATATGTATGCTGCATGTTATTTTCACTAACGGCTTCATTTTTAGGCACACCTTGCCCTAATACATATATGCCTTTTTATAAAGATCACTTGGTTGGAGAACTGCACCCACAAAATTCAGCTACCTTCACATTTCAAAACATAGCTGTGTTTCAGTTTGCATATTACTTCAGAAAGTGTGGATTTGATAGAGCCAGCTTTGAATTGAATTTCTCCTCCACCCCTATCCTCTTATGTTTGTTCATTTATTCATGCAACATTGTATGCATGGATACCCCAGCCTTCTTTTTGGGAGCTCAAGCTTGCATATGTGCTCCTTCTCCTCACTTTATCCTCACAATAACCCTGGGAGGTAGACTAGGCTGACAAGAGAGTGACTGGCCCAAGCTCATGTAGTGAGCTTCATGCCTGAGTGGAGCTATGAAACCTGGTTTCCCAAAGGTCGTAGTCCAACATTCTAGACACTAAACCACACTGGCTCCTTCCTATATCAATGGACCGTTGGCTTATCTGGTAGCAGTGATGGGCAGCTGCATGCCGCAGTTTAATAATTCCCACAATGCCTTTGATTTCTGAGGCATTGTGGGGGACTAAAAGGCCCACTTGTAGACTCAGGTCAAACATCAGGACCAGTGGTCAGCTAATTTTTTAAAGAAGTTTATGCACCTTTGATGAATAGAGAGCATTAAGCTTGGATCAGCCCTTAAACCTCACTGTACTCTAAAAATGTTTGTGTTTCAGCTTAAGGCCCCTCCCCCCATGTCCCTCAGCTCCATTCTGGACTTACTCAGGCTCCACCTCATAGGTTTCTCATGCCCTGTTCCTCACCCTCCCTTCCTTCCAGAGTGGGCAATGCTACACAATGCAAACTACTTTGGAGATGAGGAGTGTTTTGTAAAGAGTTTATGTTATAACAAAGGGGCTTATTGTTAAAAGAAAAATCAAACGTTCTGTTGGGTGAGTGGGAGTCCTTGGGCTCGCTTAGTTCTTTGAATCCTTCCCATAGGCAATAGGACATGTGGCTCTTTGGAGTAAAAAAAGAAATTTCAGGTTTAGAATGTGGCAGCAAGGGCAGAGGGTTGAGTGCCCATTCTGGGATAATGTAGAGCCTAACTTACAGTAGTTGCACTGCAGTCTAGTTCGTTTCCCATGCACAATTCAAGGTACTGGTTATTACCTTTAAGGCCCTGAATCAGGTGTGGCTATTCTGTGCCCTTCCATGTGGGAATGTTCAGGGATGCAGGAGAGGATATATTGTTTGATTCTATCCTTTCCAACTTGTGTTAACAAGTCCTACAGTTTAGCAGAGTAACATTCCCCCTTTTAAACTTGCACAGTGGATGCATTTGCTCAGGCTCGCTAAAGCCTCTATAATAAGTTTTCCTTTTGGTTATTTCCCCTTTAGTTCCTCATAAAAAGATAGACACCACACAGTCTTCTATAAAAGTATAGAAAGAGTTTACTCACATTTTCTGTTCACAATTGGATCCCAGAAGGCAGACTTTAAGTTACAAAAGTAATATACCTGGAAATTATCCCATAAGGAGACAGTCACTTTGTCCTCTCTTGGCTGGAAGCCAAGAGAACATCTTAGGCTAAGCAGATGTTGCTCCTTCGACTAGTGTGGTCAGAGAGAGAGAGGTGGCTGACCAGTCCTGCTCTTTTGTTACCTAGGCAGGTGAGGTCACGACCACCTCTAGTCACATGCAGAGGAAGTCTGTCCCAGCTTAGAAGAAATAGGAAGTTCCGACTGGCTGGTCCAGACATCCCCTTTTATGTCCACTCTAGGGATGTTGTACTTGACTGCTCTTGTGTTTCACATCCCACATTCCAGAACCTGTTGGTCTCCAGCCACCATCAGCCCTAGACGCCATGGCCAGTAGTCAAGGATGAGAGGAGTTGAAGGCAAGCAATATCTGGAGGGCCACAGGCCCTCAGTGATTTGGCTTCAGGATATCTTCTCCTGTAAAAGCCTTTTTTATGATTTGCAAAGGTGGCTTTTCTCTGCGCCATGACATTGACAGAGGCGTGGTTGGCTGGGATCTCAGAGTGGACTTTCTCTGTAGCTGATTTTTGATTATGGAACTCCATATTTCAAGAGGTGCTCCTGGACTATCTCCTAACCTTCCGCTATTTAGTTAAGACATTTTTCTTACAGCAGACATTTAACCTGCCAAGTTGTGGAATTTCAGTGCTTTTTTATCTGCTGTGTCTTGAGATTAATCATTTGACTGTGCTGCTTTTAACTTGTTTTAAGCTTCCCTGAGCAATGTGTTTACATTGAAAGGACAGGGTATAAATCCTCTTAAATAAATAATAGTTGTGTGAATGGCTCCACTTGGAAGGCACATTGCACTTGAGCTGACACTGGGTGAGATGAAATGTGGAGTGATTTTAATGCTGGCGTGGCTCATTCACACAGGCAGCTCAGATCACCACTTGACTCTTGATTTGACAATTAATTACTGGCTGATTATGCATCTGTAAATTGCCTTTAAGGCACATTGGTTTGCATCCAACTGTGACTCGCATTCATGGAAGTCTTTGATCCAGTGGAGATTTCCATGAACAGAATGGGGAGGGAATAATTTTTTGCAAATTCTCTTACAGCTCTGATGCCACCTCCCATGCTGTTCCACTGGGCTCCCCAATCCACAGATTTTGAAGCGATAGAAGAGGGACTCAGTGAAGATCACCTCTGTCCCCCTCCATTCATGGAAGCCTCCATTGGATCAAAGAGCTTTCTCTGAATGGAAAGAAGCACTTGGATATGGCTCGTTGATTTCAATGGAATTTATTTTCAGGTATGTATGTTTCAGACTGCAGCTTAAGGCCCAATAAAAGCTGGCTTTCCAAAGCCTTTAAGGTTTTGATATTCTGCTCCCAAACAGGAATAAAATGCATTTATTTGTCTAATCAGTTTTACTGACAGTAGGTTTAAAGTTTCATGGTGTATAGTCAGGAATGCAAACATCGTTAGTCTGAATTAGAAAATAAAAATCAATTGCTTGTTAAAACTTTGAATGGTACAACAGCAGAAAATAAAGTAGGTATGATTAGTTCAGGGTTAAAGAGAAACACAATTTGAATGTCCAAGATCCTGTTGTTTTCTAACCCGTTCCACAAATCTAGGTCCCTGGCTCATACTCTGATGAACCATTTAAATTTGAAACCTGGATTGCTGGTGTAATTCCTGAGTTTTTATTAAGATATGTGGTCTCCACTACACATCAGTGGCAGCGGGGTTAGAAAGCCCCAACCCATTATGACAAAGGCAGGGGAAACTGTGACCCTCAAGTTGCTGCTGAATTCCCATCTTCTCTGATCATTGCACATGCTAGTTGAGAGCTGGTGGGAGTTGGAGTCCAAACAATATTCTTCTATTAAACATAATCATTACTGCACTGTTTACTTCCAGGGATGTGGAGAGGCACTTGTGGAATTTTCTGCCTCAGGAGCCAAAAAAATACAACTAGCATTGGGTGCTCTGCATCTTGATTTGTGGGGCAGGAGTTTGCTGTTTTGCCTTTGGCAACAAAATGTCTTGAACCAGCTCTGATGCCTAACTATGCAGAGGATCAGGCTGTGAGGTTGGAAAGTTACCTTGTTAGTGACCTTCAGCCAAAAACCCAAGAGTTTTCTATGGGCCAAAGCCCTGCCTTTTGCTGAAGCAGCTGTAATATTTCAAAGCACAGTGTCAATTAATACAATATTTGTCAAAGGAAGATTTGTTACAAAGACCATGGAAGCGGGTTCAGGGAGAGAACATTAAGTCCTGAAAGCAAATCTCTCCCCACCTTCTGCCCCATTCAGCCTGGTATTTGTTCTCATCACTAGCGTATTATTTTCCATTAGAAGATTACAGACGACATAAGATGGTAATAAAAGAAACGGATGCATTGTTATGCGTCTGACAGTGAACATTTAGCTAAATGGATTCCTTTATATTGTCAGTGTTTTTCTTCATATTACAGAAACGGATGCTTTCAATTTAAACAGTGGTGTTTCTGTCTACCCTGTTTTTAAGCTGCAGCACTTTCTAAACCTGAAATAAATAAAAATAAATAAATAAGGAACACATACCCACACTCAATCTCACAGATACTTCTTTTTCCCACCATATGTATGAATATTTTCAAGGATTGTATGAAATGTATGTTTGTATGTTCGTAACATATATGTATTAATGTTGAATTATTTTAATAAGATTTTTTTTTTTTAAAAAAAGGAACACATCACTCTCAGACCAGAAAAAAAGTTGAAGTACGTTAAGTGTAAGAACTACCCCCTGCATTTCTTTCTGTGTGATTTATTGACGGGAGCAGGTACCAGGAGCAGATTACCAATAACTCACACGGGTTCAATGAAGTTAACTCTTCATTCAAAGAAACAAGACAGCTCAGGAAGCCAGGCCTAGAGAGTACCACAATTCTTCCCAGGAGAACTTGCCCCTAGGAGGCAGTTGTGAGGACGGAAGGTCCCCAACTTCCCACAGCTCCCTAAGTCTCCTCCTCCCCCAGCTCCTTCCTAAGCAATCTGAGACTCATTTATCATGTCTGTCTTTGCTCCACCCTCTTCATACCTCTGTGGGTTCTGGGAGACCAGAGAGGAGAGGAGCTGGTTGCCACAGGACAGGGAGACACCCTGGCTGCCTCTTAGCACCCTCTCTCCTTTCCAGCCTTCTCTTCTACCTCTGGTTCTGGGCTGTTCTTTGCTACAGACTCTTCATGCTCATTGAACCCTGTTACCACTTCAAACTTAAAGAGGCTGAGATCCATAAACCCAGTTTTTCCAGAGGATACTTGGGCCCCAGCATCATGAACAGTGGATCAGGGCCTCTGGAGCTTTGAGTCAGGACCTCCAAAGTACCCATGTCCCTAGGTTGATCCAGCAATGCAGATGAAGGGAGTTGTTTCAGGCTCCAAAAAGGAGTCCTGTCTTTTAAAGGCTTTTCTCAAGGTACATTCCTGGGAGAGGGGAGGGGAGAGGAGGTCAGCTACCACCTGGAGGAGGGGTAGTGCCACCATCATCAGCGGATGTAGCCTGCTGTATGGAGGTATGGGTCACATGATTCCTCCACCCCACCCATCCCTTTCATGCAGCCCCCAGGAGATTGCTAATAAGGTAATATGGCCGTTGAGCTGCGAAAGGTTCCCTACCCAGAAAATTCTGGAAAGAAAGTGAATACTTTCTGTTGTTGCTTCTTTAAAAAGGCACCATAATCCATGCATTCAGTAAAGAAACAGTGAATTAAAATTGTCCACAACACAGATTTCCATTATGAAGCAATGGAAGAGTATCTAGCACAGCAGGACTGTAATCTTGTCAGCGGCCTCTAGATACTACTGTAATTTGTCTAATAATATTATATTGTTATCAAGACTTAGCTTCTTCAGGAAACGGTCTGAAGAACAAAGAGGATGTTTTGTCTAGTCCACAAATGTAAACCCAGCACAGTAATTTGATATCTCTTCCTATCACAATGTTACCTTCAATACTGAGCATTCTCTACAATATTAGTATTATGGCCGGGTTCAATTTATTACTTTGGTTTGTTGCTTAAGGTTTCTTTCACTTACAGGGCCAGTTCTTTATTTACTTTCGCTTGCCATTTGAACAAATTAGAAAATGACTGCTAATACTAATTTGCAGTCATGCTGTAAAATACTAATAAGAAAAGAATTGTGCACATTGAACCACCCCATTTCCCTGCATTGTGTAACTGTTTGCTTCCCCACTATTATTCAACGAAGTCTACAAACAGTAGATATGGCTGAAATGAAATTGTTTGTTGTGTCCCCTATGGGTCTGTGTGGGTGCTAATTCTTTTTCATTGCAACTTTATTACTGTGTTGCTCCCCACTTATCAGGTAATAAAATTGGGCTGTGTGCAATAATGTGCAAATGAGCACATTTAATTTTTTATCACTTTCTTTAGGATTGTCTTATTGTCACTACTTAATTGTTTGCCACAAATTCAGTACATCAAGCAATAGCTATGGGATGTGATTCACTAGGAATTTATCTTGAGCAATTTAAACTCATTTCTTATGTTTATGTCATGATGTAGCTCCCCCAGTGGGGCTTTTTCAGGTCAGGAAGTGCTGCATTACAAAATTCAAATAAGTGAAAATTTTGAAGGGCAGCTGTGTTTTGGCTGAGGAAGTATGAATTAGGTAGGTTCAAATTTAAATGTCAAGCAAATAAATCTTTCCTCTTTCCCTACCTCTAGCAGCTGCCATACCATAATACTGAAAATAATATATTTTCCTACATAGCCACATATGATTAGGCTATAAACTTATTTGTATGTACTAATCTGTATTTAAGAGTTCAAGAACTCACTTGTAAATTCAATTTCAAATATGAGGAATGCAGTGTGATACATTTGACCCTGATAAGAACATGCATTGAAACAGAAGTGTGTATAAAGAGTGTTAATGGAATAGATTGTCCCAAGGCATTAGGAGAATAATGTGTTTACTCATTCATTATGCTCTGAAGAAAAAAAAAGCCACCAGTGATTTGTCGACCTAATTTTTGGTGGGGGTATGTGAGCACCTGATTGTCAGAACACCAAATAATTTGGATGCTTCTCTTCAACAGATAGCCCAGGTGAAGCTTAAATATCTTTTATATATCCCACCAAAGTTGCAGGCTTACCGCAAGTATGCAGACAAACAGGTTGGATGGTGTCTTGTACACCTCTTTCCGGCAGCTCCTTCAGCCAAGCTGGTACCAAACGTATTGCTCTGCTTTCCTTTGGACCACATTGCCAAGGCCAAAGGGGTGTGTGTGTCTTGTTGTCTGGGCATCTCAGGACCTCTATACATGCTGCCCAGACTTCCACCCCAGGGAGGTCACTTTGGTGCTGCTAAGTCACAGTTTGACTTCACCCCCAGTGGTGCACTCAGTTGTCTTGAGACAGACAGATGCCAGCAATGCTGAATAGGGATAATGTAAGCAGTACAGCAGCCTAGTCTGAATCTGGTCTCCATTACCATTATACTCTTGAGATTTAATGAGTCATCAGATATTGTGATCAGATGAGATGATCAAGGCACTGACAAAAAAAATGTTCCTTGGATATGAACATGAATGTGTAGCTTCTGCCATATCCATAACACATAAACAGTGCAATCATATTCATGTTTATCCAGAATCATGTACCATTATGTTCAATGGGCTTGCTTACTAGATAGTGTGTTTAGGATTGCAGCCAAAGCTCTCTGAAAGCAACAATCCTAATAATTTACTACAGGAAAGCAGATACAAGAAGGTGAGGAGTCCAACCTCAGTGTGATGTCAGTGAAGCTCCTGCATTTAAGTCATAAATCAGTTTAACGTCTGTTGAAATGAAAGGTTGTTACATAAAGGCAAGGCTCTTGGGAGCAAGAGGGTTTACAAACTGACAGGGCAACAATTTATTGTTGTGTTGGCAGACACTGCTATAACTGTGCTGACAAAGTAAAAGTGCCCAAAGTTAATAAAATCAGGAAGGCTCTGCAAATGTTATATTGCTTCTCTATCATATATAGCTATATGAAAGTTCATGGCATAATGTTTTCATGCAAACACTGAGAACTCCAAGGCTGTAACTTTCTTTTATCAGCTTCAAGCATATGACAGAAATAAATGGAAATCTAGACTGAAGCTTTCTCTTTCACAATCAAAATGGAGGAAGAAGTCTCACTGGGTTTAAGACCAATGAGAACAGAAGAAGTTCCCTGATGGATCAGACTAGTGGTCGATCTGTTCCTGCATCCTGCTCACGGTGACCAACCTGATTCCTCTGGGAAGTCCTCAAGAAGGGATTGCTAGAAATAGCCCTCTCCACTGATATTTCATCTGGTATTCAATGGCATATGGAATCTGAATTGGAGGTTCCATGTAACCATCATGAGAGTAGTATCCTCCGTGAAATAGGTCCCAGTTGTTGTTTGTTGTTGTTGTTTAGTCATTTAGTCGTGTCCGACTCTTCGTGACCCCATGGACCAGAGCATGCCAGGCACTCCTGTCTTCCACTGCCTCCCGCAGTTTGGTCAAACTCATGCTAGTAGCTTTGAGAACACTATCAAACCATCTTGTCCTCTGTCGTCCCCTTCTCCTTGTGCCCTCCATCTTTCCCAACATCAGGGTCTTTTCCAGGGAGTCTTCTCTTCTCATGAGGTGGCCAAAGTATTGGAGCCTCAGCTTCATGATCTGTCCTTCCAGTGAGCACTCAGGGCTGATTTCCTTGAGAATGGATAGGTTTGATCTTCTTGCAGTCCATGGGACTCTCAAGAGTCTCCTCCAGCATCATAATTCAAAAGCATCAATTCTTCGGCGATCAGCCTTCTTTATGGTCCAGCTCTCACTTCCATACATCACTACTGGGAAAACCATGGCTTTTACTATACGGACCTTTGTTGGCAAGGTGATGTCTCTGCTTTTTAAGATGCTGTCTAGGTTTGTCATTGCTTTTCTCCCAAGAAGCAGGCATCTTTTAATTTCGTGACTGTTGTCACCATCTGCAGTGATCATGGAGCCCAAGAAAGTAAAATCTCTCACTGCCTCTATTTCTTCCCCTTCTATTTGCCAGGAGGTGATGGGACCAGTCTGTACTATAGCTTTAAAACAGCACTATCCCACTTTAAACAGCCATGGCTTCCTATTGGATCCTATTAGCACCCTGAGCCTGACTATTCTTCACAAAGCAATGGTTTTCCCTCCTCAGTAGGACTATGAAATGTTTCTACAGTATGTTCCCATGAAATAGGTTGCATTGGACTGTCAAGCAAGTCCAGCTTTGGACCAAGCTTCAGTTTGAATCCATTGCTGTCTATGTTCTTGAGGACCCAAAAGTGACTGTGGAGGATAAAAAAAAATCAGATGGTGAATATAAGTGAAACTCGTCAGTTGCTCCAGGTAGTTCCCTGGATGGGGCATTGCACTGGAATATGGACTCAGGGGTTTCCTTCAGGCAGTGCAGCAGTTTATTTATATAGATAATTTCAAAATATAACCTGGCAATTTCCCTTTTATGAAGCTGGGAGGACAAGTTAAATGAGGGTCAGACACAGTAGAATGCAAAAACCGAAGTTGGCTTATATGCTGCTCATCATTTTTGCCTGGAAAATGTATTTAAGAATACATTAACTTGGTGGTCCAAGAAAGGATCAATAGCATTAGAGTATAAAAAGCAGCAATTCCACCTCCCTGCCCAGTTCCAAAGTAGACCCTGAAATGTAATATTTTTAGTCATAAAAACAATGTTTTTAATAAGCAAACTCCCACTCAGTTCTGTCTTTTGATATTAGAAACCAGATGACTTCAGGAGAAAAAAACCTGCTGTCTCCATAAAAGTTTACAAGCTATGGAAATATATTTGGATTCTAAGCCAAAGCAGTAACAACTGCAATGATAATACTCTACCCATGGCTGCCCTTGCAAACTGTTACTTCCCTTAACTGATCAGTGCTGCAGTTATGGAGTAATTGGACTGACTTATTTAAATTTATAAAGCAGCAAAGTACATCCCCAACTATGTTCCAGGGATCTTCAGTTGATTGAAAATGGCACGTTATCAAATGTAAATGAGTGCTGGATATTGAAACAAGAAATATCTCTGTAAACCCAACACCATCTGTTACTGTATCACCACAATTTTCTTAAAAAGTTGAGATCCTTTTCTGAGGACAGGAAACGCAGGAATGACCAGTATTGCATGGATCTGTTTTGCATCCTTTCTCAGCATGTGGTAGCCATGGTTTTTTAGTCCTTTGAATTAACTTCTAGCTGCTGATGCCACATGTTGAGCCAATCATACAAAAAAACAAAACAAAACGTGCATATCCTGGTCTTGCCTCAGCATGCAGAAAGCCAAACAGCAAGAAGTTTTTTCTTGGCTTTAGCATTCACTTTGCCCCTTCAGCATCAAACCCTGCTGTTTCAGTGATTTCCAGTCACTGGTGGCAAACATGGACTGTAGGTCTGACATCAGTACCCAGCAATCTCAGACAGCTCCATTGGTCAAAAGACCCATGGCCCCTCTGTTTACCCAGTCTGCAAGCTGCAGTCTTAACTTGTCAGTTAACCGCATTGCAAATGTTTCCACAATGCCCCAGAGGACCTGACATTGCATCACTCCGGGGCATTGTGGGGGGAATTAAAATAGCAGGTGGCTATTTGTTCTGGGGTTTTCCCCAACTCTCTGTGGCATTTATATATTACCTTTCTTCCAAGAAGCCCAAGGAGGCACACACAGGTCCCTTCCTCCTGTGAGGTAAGTTAGCCTGAGAGGCATAGACTGGTCTAATGTCACCAAGAGTCCGGTTTAGCATTTTTCTTACACAAGACACAACATGCTGGCAGTTTAACTAGTCGAGGTTTATTGGCAATAACAGGCCTTCAGCAAACTGAGCTTCCCACAACTCATTCCTCACTGTCGGAGTCAGTTGACTCAACTGGCTTCATGCCCTTCCCAAGGCCAGATATACCCCAGGCCCTCCCCCACGTCCTACTGGTCTTCCTTTGCTCTAATCACTTGCTCTGCCTCCTACTTTTTGGAGACTCAGGTGCAGCCAATTCCTCCTCCTCAGGAGTAGAATCCAATTCCCTCCTACCACCTGCACCCTGCTCCTTCATCTCTGTGCTGCTGCAAAAACTTACAAGCGAGAGGGGCTTATCTCACTTTTGTTGTGTGAAAGAATCAAGTTTCTATTTTCCTCTGCCTCTTCTTTCCCCTCTGCAGATTCCTCTCTGCTGGCCATGTCTCTGACACCCAGTTAGCTTCATGGGTAAGTGGGGATTTGAACCCTGACTTCCCTGGTCTTAGTCCAACAATGTATAAACTGTCTTCCAGTTGAAAATGTTGTGGCAGTGTACAAAAAAAAATGGGGGGGGGGAGGAAAAAAATGAACAATTTTTTTAAAAATAATAAGAATATATTCAATGCACCTGAAAAAGAAACATGAGCAATATTGAACTATGCTACTCTGAAAAAGCCTGAGTAAGAAATTCTAAAGGAGGTGCCTAAAAGAACAAAATATTGGCACTATCCTAATCTCCACGCAGAGTGTATTCCAATATTTATTTTAAATGCTGGCTCTCAGATACATTCTACACACCACAATTTTTGGAAATTCAATTCCTGATTTGAGGAAAGAATGACTGGTTACCAATGTGGCAGATGCACAAAGAGCCCTGGCCATGGCCAATATTCAATTGTAATATAACACAAAGGTCAACAATGTGGTGCCCATGGGATCCTGTGTGCCTGCCAGTACATTCTGTGGAAGTTGTGAAAGGTTTCCTACCTTCGTTCTTCTGTTCTGAACTGAGGAGAGACGCGAGTGTGGTTGATGCAGATGCCTTTCTCCTCATTTCATTGCAGGGCGGTGGATTTAGATGGTGGACATGTCTGCACCATTTTGTGGTCTCTTTTTACCACTCTTTTAGATGTGGCAGCACTTTTGTGGGTTATTCTATGCCCTCATGGCAGCCATTTTGTGACTGGTGCCCACAGTCCTTTTTCAAAATTCCAAATACCCACTGGCACCAGCAGGTTGTTGGTTTCTTGTTTATCGGTATGACATTGCTACTGAAATCATTCTGGGAGATCTGCCCCATATTGGTTTTCTTTGAGCCTTTATTTGGAGGTTTGTTTCAATAGTCTTTAAAATATGGTGGCTGACACCCATGTCTGATCGCTGTCAAGCAGAAGACCAATATGAATGAGGTGCTTTGTCTCCCTGCTGTGTGTTTCCCCTTAACCCACCTCTGACACACCACTTTCCCCCTCCCCCCTTTCAAGAGGACCACATTGCAAACTCATATTTTCCTTGGCTTTTTAGGTAATTGTTCTATAAGGGTATCAAATACCAATCACTTTTGAGATGTAGACATTGGTGGTTTGCTCAAGAACACAAAGCATTCACGACATCCCATCTTTGTGTGTGAGGAAATGCCGTAAGATTTCTTCAGTTATAAATTTGTTATTACTTGTTTTGACACTTTCCCATGAGAATGAGTAAAGATGAGTTAACTCAGTCATGAGAGTGTTCTAGCTCTATGGCTTTAGAAGGTCTATTAGTTTAGAAATACTGTATGATCTGTTATTAAATGTTTTAGGTGATATTTAACTGCATTCCTGTAATCCGCTGCACCCCCCCCCCATTTCCATAGAAACCATTACCTGCTATGCAGCCAAGAAACAGGTTTATTGAACAAGCAGGGCTTACAATGAGCCATACAGACTCAGTTCACCATGCTGTTCCTGTTGCCTTAGTCCAGGCTTCCTCAAACTCGCCCCTCCAGATGTTTTTGGCCTACAACTCCCATGATCCTTAGCTAGCAGTACCAATGATCAGGGATGATGGGAATTGTAATCTCAAAACATCTGGAGGGCCTAGTTTGAGGAAGCCTGCCTTAGTCCTTCCTTCCCTCAAAGCATTTATTCCCCCCCCCCCAGCTTAAAAAAGCTCTCAAGAGTGGTTTACAAAATCAGTACCAGTAAGTTGCAAGTGACATGCATTGAACTTGTAAGGGGGCAGGTGTCTGGGAAAATTTTTTTGGCAACCCCACCCATCATTGCACCCAAGGTGTTTTGACTATACACAATTTTGGCTTTGTGCACTATCCACAGCATGGAAGTTGACAGTTGCCTGCACTAAGACAGACCCAGCTCTCTGGCTCACAATCTAAACAGGCATGACACATGAGGAGAAGGGAAAGGGAAGGAGGAGGAAAAAAGCAAGCCCAAACGCAAGTTCTTCAGCTTACAAGTTCAGTCCTTGTGTACAAACCATGCTAAGGTGCCAACTCTTACAGGCTATTGGGAAATATACTTATTGTTAAACACATATGAGCAAGAAGCAACATAATCACCATGATATGCCTTATATTTAAATGTTCTCATGTGAACCAGGACAGAACTGCTGGTTTTGGTGTGCTGAACCATTTGTCAGACTTTTACTGTCCTGAACTGGAACCAAACTAGAACTCAGTTCCAGCTGGACCTGAACTCAAATTGAACTAAATAACTAATGGTTTTACTCAATGGCTCATACCTGCTAAAAATACTAAAGGCTGGGATTGCACTCACATTTACTCAGGAGTAAATCCCTTTGAATTTAGTGGGACTTCCTTCAGAATAAGCTTCATGACATAAGTGTTGTATGAATATTTTAAAAAAAGGTTTCCCATTAGTTTGTGATACTCTGATGATGACAAAAAATATAACTGTTGAGGCAACTTTAGCTTTATAAAACTTAGCAGTTGTAAAGCTGTTTGCTTAGCTTAGGCTTAAAATATCAGAATGACAAAAAACAGAGAAATGTGGAAGAACGTACACACTCATGCTGATCTTAGTAATCTTATATAACTCATTTTTTTCTTCACAGGCATGGATAACATCTTGAATCTGCACGTGATGTTCCCCCCATGCCTAACCCAAAGGAGAGCTTTTTCTCTCTACATAGTTGGCACTAAGATGTTCATTTCATATAATATGGGCTTTTGCCCATGCCATGGAAGATAAACATCGCCTAGGTGTTACTTGATAAATTGATAGTAAAGTCTGGATGCACCAATTAAAATCATTGCTGAAACAAAAATGCCTAACCTACATTTAAACACAGACAGAAGGTGTTGATGTAAAAACCATACGGCAGACAGTTCCATTCTCAAGCCCCAGCAAATGCTCACAGGCTTGTGTGTGTGTCATTTCTGCTTTATGTTTTAAGACTGTAGGTTAGCAGTGATATATCAGGGAAACGATCTAGAATTAGGGGTGAGCAGTGAGATGGCCAAGTTTGCGGATGATACAAAATTGTTCAGGGTTGTTAAAAGAAATGGTAAAGAAGTCCAAAGTGGCCTCTCCAAACTGACTGAGTGAGAGGTGAAATGGCAAATGCAATTAATTCCATGTAAGCAAGTGTAAAGTGATGTATGTTGGAGAGAAAAATATAGTATATGACTCGCTGAAGATGTTGACCCAGGGTGCAGCAGCAGTGAAAAAGGAAACATCCATGCTAGGGATTATTAGGAAAGGAATTGAAAAGAAAACTGCTGATAGCATATTGCCATTATACAGATCTACAATCGCCTCACCTAAAAAGGGATATTGTGGAGTTGGGAAAGTTTTGGAAAAAGACAGCCGAAATAATCAAGGGGCTGCAGCGACTTGTCTATGAGGAAAGGTTGCAGCATTTGGGACTTTTTAGTTTGGAGGAAAGCTAAGTGAGAGAGATGACATGACAGAAGTTTTAAATTACACATGGCATGAAGAAAGTGGCTAGAGAAGTATTCTCCCGCTCTCCTAACACTAGAACATAACATCCACTGGTGCAGAACAGATAGAAGTGTTTCTTCACACAGCATATAGCTAGATGATGGCACTTGCTCCCACAGGAGGCAGTGATGGCTTTAAAACATGGATGGCTCAAAAAGAGGATTCGAAAAATTCATGGTGGACAAGGCTGTCAATGGCTACTGGCTATGACGGCTATACTCTGCCTTCACGGTGAGAAGGCTTCTGAACACAGTGGTACCTTGGTTCTCAAACTTAATCCGTTCCGGAAGTCCGTTCCAAAACCAAGGTGTGCTTTCCCATAGAAAGTAATGCAAAATGAATTAATCTGTTCCAGACTTTTAAAAACAACCCCTAAAACAGCAATTTAACATGGATTTTACTATCTAGTGAGATCCATAAAATGAAAGCAATAATCAATGTACTATACTATACTATAAAATAAATAAGACACTATTGTAGATGATCAAAATTAAAATTGGTTTTTTGCACTGATGATAGTCATTGTTTGGATAGGGGGCTTTTATCCATTTCTGCAGTCACACAATCAATCAATCAATCAATCAATCAGTAGATGAACTGGGTTCCACACAGTCACAAAAACATATTAACTGAAAAAGCCTCAAAAACAAAAATGCAAAATAAATAGCAAAAACAAAAGGGCCAAACTTAATCTGTTCCGGAAGTCCATTTAACTTCTGAAATGTTCAAAAACCAAGGCGCAGCTTCTGATTGGTGCAGGCACCCTGGAAACAACAGTGGACAACGACATTCAGCTTCCAAAAATTGTTCAAAAACTGGAACACAAACTTCTGGGTTTTTGGAGTTTGAGAACCAAAGCATTTGAGAACCAAGGTGTTTGAGAACCAAGGTGTTTGAGAACCAAGGTACCACTATGCCAATTGCTGGAAACAGGAGGCGAGGAAAGTGCTCTTGCACTCAGGCCCTGCAGGCGGGTTTCCCACAGACAACTGGTTGGCCACTGTGGGAATAGGATGCTGGCTGCACTAGATGGGCCATTTGCAGTTTTCCCTGTAGCTACTTTCACACAATAGATTTGTACAACCATATCATTTGGATAGTGGTTGGTGGAAATGTTAAACTCTGATTTTGGGTGGGTGTGCATGTGTATGTGGGGGAAGCCAAGCCTGTACTGCCAATGTTGCTAAACTTCCTTCCACTTTCTTTGAGCAAATTTCCATAGATCTTTAGTCTATCACTCAGAGGTCATATGCTTAGTTTATTTGATTGCGTCAAGCCATTTGGTCCAATATTATCACTTTTGACTGATAGCAAATCTCCAGGGACTAAGGCTGAAGTCTTTCATAGCATCACTGCCTAAGATTGAACCTACAACCTTGTTGCATGCAAAACACTAGATTCTGCCACCTTTGCCTTTTAGCCCTGTGCTTAAACATCCCTCAGCTGTAAAGTTTGACATTTAATGATCCAATTCCATCTCTTTCATTGCCTCATTTGAGGGAGGGAGACACCTGAAAATTGAATGAGGTGAACTATTTTTTCTTTTCTTTTCAAATGAACACTGATGAGGAGCGGTTGTACCTGGGCTGGGATCACTGACAGGTTCAATAATGGCATCTGTATTTTTGAAGATTAATGTATGTTATTTATATTCCTGCCATAACTATGATCATCAGGATAGGTGTGGAGCAGAATGGGGTTAATTTTAATTTTGTTCGTACTTCTTTCTGGAAGGAAAATGCAGTGTTAATCCCCCCTGCAAAACATGGGTTTGGAAATACATTTGAGATTCTTCTCTATTGAACTTTACATGCTTAGAAGAAAAGCAAAGTACAGCTCACCTGGGACTGTGCCACTCCAACATGCAGATGGATAACCAAACAATAAAGTTGAATGTTCCTTCAGACTGAAAAAGAAAGGAAGATGTATTTAGAAAGATCATAGAAGAGGAAATGGCTAGTGCTAGCTATGCAGGGCATAAGTGGCCAGAATTAGCCATGCAATAAGCTGAGCCTGCTTGGCCCTACCATTAGGCAGCAACACAGCCAATTTTGGGTGTTGTGAAAGATCAACAAGTTCTTATTAATTAAATTTATTAGGATTGTATGTTTACTGGCTAGGAGGGCCAAAATCACTTGGCCATCCTTAGGTACTGTGTACTCATAGTGAAGGAGCTCATGAGAAAAGAAAAAAATGAGAGAGGATTTTTGTTCCCAACCTCATGCAGATGCCTCATAAAAAGTGAGTGGCTATTCCACAGATGTTGTTAAGTATAATTCACACAGAATTTTTTTAAAAAAGTGTACTAATGAAGATTTAAAACGAGAATGCCTAAATGCGTATTGGTGAAAAGGTTAAATATGTTTTTTTCCCCATGGGGCTATATTAAACCCAAGGAGAACATTTTGAGCTCTTGCTAATGATTAAGTAACTGACTGTTGTTTCTTTGGTAGCTAACATGTGAGTGTTGTAACCTTAGATCATGTGAGAGGTATTGGGTTGCAAAAACTCCATTTTGAAGGGAGTTACCTTTGAGTTTTTGTCTCCCAAACTCAATGGAGTGAAGATGTAAAATGAAGCTCTCCTGAAAGAAGAGTAAACAGCCTTGAGGCTGGAATGCAGGCTGTGGAGAGAGAGAGAGAGAGAGAGAGAGAGAGAGAGAGAGAGAGACCTTTGCTTTTAGGTCTGTTTGGATTATTACATATTTTGTAAAATGCTGAGCCTGTGCTGGACAACACAAGACATTGTGGATATTTTGGAAGTATCATTTGCTGTATTCTGTTTTATTTTAAAGAGCTCTGTCAGTAAAAGTTTGAATATAATTTTTATGGGTCTGGACAATGACTTATTCCAAAAGGAGTCAGTTCTTACGCTTCCAGCCACTTCATACTGCACAGTATTAATATCTGCAACAGACGTGTGGTTATTCCACAGTAAATGCTCACCATTCTACTTCCTGGAGCAGCCATACAGATGCACCTGGGAATTTACAAACTGGACAGACCCTCAAGGGTCCCTTGTTGTTTGACCTCAATGGTTCCAGCTAAGAAGTATATAGACTTCTGTGCAGGGCAGTAGCAAAATCAGTTTAATGGCTTCATTTCCCTGTAGAGAATTAGCCCACACATGAAAATACTTGAAAACTAGTATTTTCTCAGATGTTGGGTGTTTGTTTCCCCCTGCATGGGAACTATTTAAAAGAAATGTCACAAGAGCCCTTGTGATGACAAGGTGGCAAAGTACCAGCAGCATAAACAAACTTGTGAATTAGGCATTGAGGACAAATCACAAGAAATACATCTTCAGTGAAGGAAGGCAGGCAGGAAGATTTTATTCCTAGAAGGAAAGCAATTGTGGGTAGTAATTATTGAACTGTTCCAACTGTTTTGTTTATTCTTTAGTTTGTGATCAGGTACCAGTAGGAAATCAAACAGCATTGCCAGCTTGCTGTGACCTCCTTTCAGCGTCTGTCCCCAAATTACAGTTCTGTAAAATGCGTTGGGGGTAGTGGAAAACAATGCCAAGATGAAGAAAAGGCTTTAGAACAATCACGTCACCTTCCTCTCACCAGGGAAGAAAAACACTGTAATAATTCCACTGTCTGGCAGCTGAACAGGGCTGAGAACTTTATTAGAGAGCTAGGCTTTTTCCCAGCCCTGAAGGGTTTACCTACCAACCACAGAAAGGAAAGCGAAACTAAAGAAAACTGCTTTTGCCCTCGTGTCAAAATTATGAAGCTGTGTAGTTAGGGAAGATCCCCAAATGCAAACAAGAAGTATATTTGTTTATTAAATTTACATGCCACCTTCCTGCCAAAGGAGACCACAACAAGCAACATCACAGATACCTTTGGAAAGCACATGGGGAGATTACTGTAGACTGAAGGGAATTTGGGGTCAAGAATATAGCCCCCAACTGTCCCATTTTAACTGGAACATGTCGGATCACAGAAGCCAATCCAGGGACACACCAAATGACCATGGCAGGCCTCACAGGTGGGGGTTTTTTTTTGGGGGGGAGGCAGCCTAACTAAGGTGACCTGGGTGTCACAATGGTGGTGGTGAGCTGGTGAAGGTAAGTCGGGGGGAGGGCCTGGGCAGGTTGGGAGGTGGCAGTGGCAGGCCAAAGTGGCCTGGGTGCACTTGCAGGCAGCGGGGGCAGGCAGTGGTGGCCTGGGCAGGTGAAGGGTGGGCGCAGGGGTGGCATGATGGGATGGCATCCCAGATTTGGGACAGAAAATGTTGGAGCTTATGTAAGAGTGAAAGCAATAAGTATGTATGTAATTAAAACCAAAACAACAG